GCCCGACCCCTAGGCAGGAGCCCCAGCCCGGCCCCGGCCGGCCGGGCCCCGCGGAGAGGCCGCCAGGAATGAGGCCCCCACACCCCGAGCTCCAACAGTGCACCGGCGAGCCCTGACGCCAGCCAGCGGAGGGAGAGCAGGACGGGGGGAACAGTTTCAATCACGCCTTCCCACCCTAGTGCCCCCACTCGCACCACAGAAGAAGAAGAAGAAAAAAAATGCGGACACACATTCACACATAACACTCGCATCCAGGATTATCGGACGACCCAATAAGTGAACCTAAAATACGGATGGGGGGAGGGGAGCGGCGACACTGCCACACCAACCCATCTCATTCCTGCTTCGAGCCCGGCCTCTCACCCTGCACCCGAACCAGACCACCCCCAGCAAAAGCTCCCCCGGGATCGGGGCCCACCAATCCCACGCAGGCCACCCAAACAACAAAATTTGTGTTTTGTGGATTCTATTCTATTTTCAATTCAATTCAATTTAGTTTATTTATATAGTGCCAATTCACAACACGTCATCTCAAGGCACTTTACAGTTCACCAGATCATACAGTCAAATTGATTCAAAGTTTTCTATCTAAGGAAAGCAGCTGATTGCATCGACTCATTGACTCGAAGGCAATCCCTCAAACTAAGCATGCTTGTAGCGACAGTGGAGAGGAAAAACTCCCTTTTAACAGAAAGAAACCTCCAGCAGAACCAGGCTCAGCGGCTATCTGCCGAGGCCGACTGGGGTTTAAGGAGACAGAAGCAGATGCATGTAACTGGATATTACATATTTATTTTAGGCAAACTTTTTGAAATGTCAGTACTTGCATATTATTCAATATGTTGTGCAACATTTGTTTAAATACAAAATCAGAAGAAGAGTAGCAAGTACAGTACATATCTTAGCCTAACTTATTTCTAGAATGAATACTTTTTGCTTTTATTTATTAAAAAATACAATGAAGTGGTGCACTCTTACCTGAGTCAATTTTTTAGCTACTTTACCGACCTCTAGGTAGAAACAAAGAGTAAAGACCCCAGTTGGGAGAGGATGATTTTAATGGAAAGATGGGTGGAAAGGAACAGTTTAGATCTAAGCATGTTTGTGTGTTAAAATGACCCAAAGTCCAGACCTAATTATAACTGAGAAACTTTCCCAATCCTTAAAAAGTGACCTTTGAAGCAATCTCATCCCATTCTGAGTTAGCTAGAATACTTTTTCTGAAGGAGATGGAGAAAAGTTAAAATTGGGGAAAACAGAAAATTCTTTCAGAAAAAGAAATAATAATTCAGATATCTGTAGTATGGCCAACCCTATAGACATTTTATGGAGTATAATTACTTTTTTTGTGGCACTGCACATGTGTGTATTTCAGTTTTACACAAATCTAATCAAAACATTTACTGTTGTCCTCCCTGGTTTTTCGCTTCATCAGGTCATTATTTCTAAGCCAGGCAAATATAACTCAGAAGGGCCAGCCCAAACATTGTTTTATTCTTTGATACAGAGCTTTCTTCGAGAATGTAATATCTTTCAGTACACAGGGTAAACCTAAAGCCCTGCTTAAATCTCACTTGGAAATGCAAAATATAATATTATAATTAAAAGCTTTGAAGCAGAATTATTTGTTCGCCCATTGTTCATCTACATTGCCTTGTACCAGAGAAGAATCTGGTTTACTATGATGACTGCATTTCACACAAGCCTTCGGGATACATTTTAACGTTTAGCAGTAAACTCCCTCTCTCCTGCAAAATGTCACAAAAACGAGATAAATACTGATTCAAATACACTGACTTCTCACCTGCCAGACTCCCACGATGGCATTGGCTATGAGGATAAGTAGAATTACAAAAGGTTCCACAAACGCTGTGATTGTTTCTTCCCCCTCCTCAAACCAGGCAAGAACCTGGCAGAAGTGAGAGAAAA